GCAGCATATAACAAGGAGGTCTGTGATGAAATGATAGTGTGTCACTGAGATGTGGTATAACAACATGGAAATACATTTGGGACAGTTCATGCAAAGTTATTCAGGTACTGAAATATACTTATACAGTATATATTTTATTAGTTTACTTAGAGTATAAAGATTATATTCATAAAAAGATATATACACGTTTGTTTCTGCCCAACCCTGAGCACTTATAACAATTACCGCATCTATAATGGTGGATAAGAGCTCTCATTTCACTACTCCAGCAATCAATAACATGCTCAGCATCACCCTCTAGAGATCTTCCATCTTTATCTTGGATGGTGCATTCTGGCTCATTCAGCATGTTTAACCCTTGCACCATGGGAAATACCACAGACCTTAGAGAATGCACTTTGAGTCCTCTGTGTAAACTTTATTGACTGAACTAAAGCATTATGGGGCTATGCTCAAGGACCAAACAAAATCATGGTGTTGTCCATTCCCAGCAGTAAATCAAATGTTAGCTCTCATCTCCTAACCTGGTCTTATTTTTCTTTCCATTAGGCTGTTTTTTTTTCTCCATTTATTCTACCATACTGCTGTGATAAACCTGTAGTCCTCTGACATACAGTATCTAGACTGTTTCCACTATCAACTGATGATTGTTGGCAATTAAAGGGTGAACACAAACAAGGGATGTGATCTATCATCCACTACTACTTACAATAGACTGAGTGATCCATCAGCAACAGCCATTAATGGGTTTATTTAATAGGACAAGTACAGTACAAAGTGCAGAAAGCCACAGCAACTAATAAGCAATCATGTTCCATTATACTGACTGATGAAAAAACAATGCATAGGTTGCTATGTGTTACTGCATGTTAGTATTGTTTTTTTCCAATATCACATTACACATTATGGGGGGAATTTATCAAAACTAGGGCAGACGGAATCTTGAGCAGTTTCCCATGGCAACCAATCAGCTTCCCTCTTCAGTTTGTTCAGTTAATTTGCTAATTTGTTGTCATTCACAGCTGCTCATGATTTTGTCTGCTCCAGTTTTGATAAATCCCCCTCTATGTCTTTAACCTGTTGGCTGAAGCAAGCTATATGTGAACATCCAAAACGTTCAGTCCTATAAATGGTTATGGGAATGCCTAGGCTGCACTGGTGACTACACAGACATGGCAATGGTTCATGCTCTAACTGCCAAGAGGGCTCTGTCGCTGTAATCGTGGGCTCCCAATCCTTCTTCCAAACAAAACTGGTGTAAGATTCATTTTAACGGGATGCGCAGCATGCTCTTGTGGTAGGTTTCAAGGACGATCTCCTACCCAGTCTCTAGGTCCATTACTCTTCAGCAGTAATCACAACACCATTACATTTACAGAAAGCATCTACTAACAACACTAGCTGGAGAATCTGGGACAAGTTTGTGGCCTTTGCAGTTGGCCAAGACTTTGACCTCCATCTGTGTCTCAACAGGTTTGGCTTTGGGTCTGAGCTTTCTTAAAACTCAGATGGCCTGCTAGCCCTGCTGAGGTGAGCATACTGAGCTCTTGGTGGATCAATTCCTCAAGGTTCTAAAAAACAGCCTTCAAACAAAGAATCCTTTTCCTCAATGGAATCTGATGTTAGTCCTAGCTGTGTTGTCTAAAGAACCTGTTTGCTCCAACAGAGGAATGCTCACGGTGAAACATCACCAGTGGTCCTAGTAGCCATAACTTTGGAAAGAAGAGTATCTGAACTTCAGGCCCCAGGCTCATTAGAACTATGCATCTGCTTATTTTCAGATAAAGTGGAGCTGCGACCATTGCAACACTTTGCCCCTGAGGTGGCATAATTATTCCATCTGACACGTGATTACTCACATTCCCAAAGGACTCCTAATTCAAAAGCTTACGAAAACTTGATGTCTTGAAAGCCTTACTTAAAGTGACATTAAAGGCAACTTTTTTTTCCCCCTCCCCCCAACGTTAATTAAAGCACTTACCTTAAATGATGTCTCTTAATCTGATGTTCTTCTTCTTTCTTGTCCTTTTATGTGTCCCTTCAGCGATGCGGTGGGTGTCCGATCAAGCGCTGACTCCTTCGGCTTGCTGGCACTTCCTCTCCCACGGTGTCTTCATGCGGGTGCACGCGTCCATAGACTTACCCTGCGTCCCTCCTCTTGTCCCGGCCGAAAATGTGAACTGCGCATGCACGCGCCCCAAGATCCGTTGCGGCTGCCCGAGACACAGGTGAGTTTAAACCACTGTTAAAGCGGGTTTTTCTTTTTTTTTTTACTTTTTGCATATATCTACTGCTCGTTAGCAGTAGATATATGCAAACAAAGCTGAGGGTTTAGAAACCCTTTAAGGGCACAGTGCAAGGGCTTCCTTCAGATCAACAACAGAAAAAACATATAAACAGCGCTCTCGGATGGGAAAAAAGTTAGCTTGGAGACATGTATGCAGCCCTGGGAAACAGGAGGAGAACCGGTGAATGAAAATAATCAAAAAAACAAGAAAGGGCGCAAAAACCACTGGCTAGCTAAAGGAGTTATAATGGAGACTAAAGGTGGTGGCACTTACGCGTGATTCCCAGGATCTGGAGAGGGACGGCCGGTGTGGAGGATCGGAGCACTCGTAGTGTGGGTCCGACTGTAGCTGGTATGCTGATCCGAGAGGTACATCCACGTACCTCTCGGACACCTCGTGGTGTGGGTCTGACTGTAGCTGGTACGCTGATCCGAGAGGTACATCCACGTACCTCTCGGATCAGCATACCAGCTACAGTCGGACCCACACTACGAGTGCTCCGATCCTCCACACCGGCCGTCCCTCTCCAGATCCTGGGAATCACGCGTAAGTGCCACCACCTTTAGTCTCCATTATAACTCCTTTAGCTAGCCAGTGGTTTTTGCGCCCTTTCTTGGTTTTTTGATTATCTTCAGATCAACAAACAGACTGTCTTCTCTGGAGGCAGAGTGTCCCTAGATATGATTTGCAAAGTGAGCAGTTGGTCTTTACACCACACATTTCTGAGTCAATACAGAGTCGATCCAGGCGCCTTATTGACGGTTGAGTTCAGAAGGATCATCCAAGCTACAATTTCTTTTGTTTAGTAAACCATTTCACATTCAATTCACCCTGTGAGCTAATTATTTATCACTAGTATGCTACCAGGAAGGCACCAGAAAAATTGTATCAAATATTTACTGTCATTTTTCTTGCCTGCTGTATATCCATGACAGCATGGTCACCCTCGGTCTGAAACTTTTAACTAGAGTACCAAGGGTCCTTTACTCTCTTACTTTTAAGCTATTTGCTGGTCCTGTAGGATGAGTTAGTGGGGAAGATCTATCACTAGTATGCTAATATGGATAAGCACTAGTAAAGGAAAAAAACTCAAAAATAAAATGGAAAATTGTATCAAATACTCCTGTTTGTGCTGCTGTTGAAGAGTTCTCCTCACTACCTCTCTGAGAAACCATTGTCACCTCTCTAATGAAGCCTCAGATAGCAGTAAAAACATGTTTGGCTGCACATATATGTTAAAATTGGTTAGACTGACTACTCACTTTAACAATCAATCAGGTTTTTATACATTTTGTAGAGGTTGCGAACCTTGCTTGACTTTGTTTGATCACGTGTAAGATCTGTTATGTATAACCTGCCTTACATAACTCTCTTTTGTTCTCCTATATAGCTTAGTTCCACTTTGTGTGTGACAGAGGGCACACAATTAAATCCATATTCTGTCACATTTCTACATGATGGTATGTCCCATCTATCACGGGTTCAAGGGCATGTTGTCAGACTGGTATGTGAACCAATACAAGCATTGTCTAACTTATTGAAACAAGCATTTTTAAAAACAGATCCTCCATCCTTGAAACCTGATCTAGCAAGCTATAGCTGATAGAGATTACCCCATGTTAACAGCAGTTAACTATACTGATAATTATCAGGAATTGTTTGTCAGGAATGTTGCAATCATTGCCTGCAAAGGTCAGGTGGAAAAGTTTTTTAAAACAATTTAGATTATGTCCTGTCCACTGAATTCTTATCAGAAGACCTAGTTTTCTTTTTTTTAATTCTTTATTTTATAGTTTTCAAGACATAAATTCACACTAGACACAGAAAGGCATCAGTTATGCATCTACTACAGATACTAGACCTGGGTTGGGACTAGCCAGCCCACAAAAAGGAGACAGAAGACAAAAAAAAAAACCCTATAAATACTGAGTGTCGTATGCTCACAGAAGGCAGAGAGTCTGGTAGCAGCATATAGACAAACAAATACAAAATGCACACATAGATGCATAGATGCATTGTCTGCATAAATGCAGACAATATACAAAGTGCAGATTGGGTGGGGGGTGATGGGGGACTATTGTGGTAGAACCCCGTCTCACCCAGTGGACATAACGTATATCGCAACAGTGCGATCTCGATGATACAGAGCTAGAACGCCCAGGGGTGGTGTGTAATCACCTGCCACTGCTAGGTAGTATGGAGAATCCGGCTAAGGACAGCTCTGAAAGTTGGGACTAAAGTCTGATGGTGCGCATTAGTATCGCAACAGTGCGATCTCGATGATACAGAGCTAGAACGCCCAGGGGTGGTGTGTAATCACCTGCCACTGCTAGGTAGTATGGACAGCTCTGAAAGTTGGGACTAAAGTTTGATGGTGCGCATTATACCAGAGTAGATCCTTACTCCTCAAATAGCAGCCTAACCCTAGACTGTGGACGAGCAGACGAGACAACGTAATAGGAACCGAAACATATGGGTTGTATAAATGGGCACACGGACCAAGCTCAGGAATGGTAGAGGAAAGACAGAAATATAAACATACAGAGGAGCACGGAATGTGGTATGGTCCAGCGAGAGAGAGGAGCCACCCCTCTCCTCAGTGGAAAGAGGCTCTTCAGGAGACCATCATGGTATTGTATTCAGAGGAATAGATGAATTCTAACCAGTAGAACCAGGCCTTCCTAAATTTAGCATCAGTATGATGGAGAGTAGCGGTACGCTCCTCCATCACTCTGATCTCCTCCACCTTTTTGAGCCATAGTTTCACAGACGGAGGTTCTGGACTCTTCCAGCAAAGTGGTATGCAAGCTCTAGCTGCATTAATCAGATGGGTCAGCTGGGATTTGCGGTATCGGGAGAAGACTTCGTTTTATAGGAAAACCAAGTGGAGAATAATAGGTGTATATGTTACCCTCAGCAAGAATGAACATTTTAAGTTTTTTAATTTGGCTATGGAGTATGCCTTGCAGCTTATTTTCTTTTTTACAATAATGATACAATAATGATACTAAATCACTATATGCATTGCCGTTAATATATATGTATTTTTTCTCAATAGCTGTGTATGGTAGAGTGGAATGGTCATGGTGAAACCAGAAATCCTAATCTGCATACTAGTTTAAAGTCAGATACTTATAAAATACTAAAGCAAAGGATCTGCATGACAGCCAAGGAACTAGTATTTTCAGAAGAGGTCAACAGTAGCAATCATCTTACTTCTTTACCATAGGTTTACTTCAAAGTGTATGAATAGTCTCAACTTTTCTTTTTTAGTTTTGGACACAGCGGAAAGGGTTACCACTTAGTAGTTAATACCTCTGCCTTGCAGCACTGGGGATCCCTGGTTCAAATCCCGGTCAGGTCACTAGCTGCAAGGAGTTTGCATGTTCTCCCTGTGCTTGTGTGGGCTTCCTCTGGTTACTCCGGTTTCCTCCCACACTCCAAAGACATGCTGGAAGGTTAATTGGCTCCTGTCTAAATCGACCATGTATGTATTCATGTGTGATAGTGATCTTAGACTGCAAGCTCCATGAGGGTAAGGACTGATGTGAATGTACAGTATGTAAAGCACTACGTCAATTGTTGGTGCTATATAAATACCTGTAATAAATAGAATAGAAATATATCTGTCACATGGCCAGCACACAAACAAGTAAGACCTCAGATGTTTACTAATGTCAAATAACAAAAGCACCAACATTTGGGAGGCACAAAAGCCCCCTTCACCATGTTCCTGGTGGGGAGATTCACTCTTCCCATTATTCCTGATTGCCACTGTCACCAGAATAGGAAGTAAAGGGAGATCTTTTAATGGGGACACCTGCTTCAATGATAGCCATCTAAAGCTGGCCATACACCTTACAATTATCTGCAGATTTTCTGTGGTCAGATGGAAAAGGTGCAACAGATTCCTCCATTTACACTAAACTATGTGGATGGAGGAATCTCCACCTGGTCCAATCTGTTACACTTTTTCCATCTGACCACAGAAAATCTGCAGATAATTGTAAGGTGTATGGGCACCTTAAGAATGGAATTCACCTCACTTTGTAGACATTTTATCTTACTTCCTGATATGTCTCCAGGGAAAAAAACTGACGGGGTTTCAATCATTCCCTACTTTATCCAAAACTAAAAAGTTGTGGCTATACACAGATTGTAAGTTTTCCCCAGCTGTTAAATCTAGTGGTGTGGCCCTGCATTCTGCAGTAATTTGCTCATCATTGGACATCATCATCCTTTGTAAAACATTTGCTTAATTTTTTTTTTTAAACCCAAAGTCATCCTCGCACTTTGCAAATAGTCATGCAATGAATGTATGACTATAACCATAAAATATGCAAAATGTTTTAATTATAGAGCAGCGCTGGAGGCATGGTTCCATATGGCCTGGGAGAAATAATAGATGAATGGTCCATAATAATCCTGCTTTTTTATGTTTACAGAAACAGGCCGCTGAGGGAAAGAATGATTGTTTATATGGGATGGTGATGTCATGTCAATTACAACGACTTACTCTGAGTGACTGTGCACTCTTGTATGCCACGAAGGGGACTCTCTGTGCCAGCTCTCGTTTGTAGCACAGCAGCGTGGCAGCTGCCCCCTGTGAGTTCCCCCGCATTAGAGAGACGTTCCAACCGTGCTGTTCAAATTCCGAGCTATGACGAGCGTCACAAAAATCAGCTTAGCTCTGAGATCAAACATTACTTACTCCTTTTTTTTTACACAGGGAAGCTCCTTAAAAAATACAAATAAAATACATAGTATACAACACTTCTCCAACCAACCATACAATGCTGAGCATTGCTTATTAGGCCTAATCTGAAGATTATCTTCCTGGGTATGAAGTGAAAATGATCCCTAACCTAACATCCAAAGACCTGGAAAGAAAATGAGCTGAATATGCTGATTTCTATTTTTCCTTGCACATTGAGGAGGTAAGGACAGTTAGGTGGCCTCATATTTTATACTTCTACTCTATATATACTTCTTTAAGGCCAGATTTACTGGAGTTACATAGTTAGTCAGGTTTAAAAAAAACAAAAGAGAGAAAAGTCTATCGAGTTCAACCTATAGAAAAATTAAAGAATAGAAAAACCTCCATAAACAGAACCCTATGCCCACAGTTACCCACAGGTGATCCGAAAAAAACGCTAAAAATCACTATAAGAACTACAAATTCTTGCTCCTCCTTGAAAAAATTAAAGGATCTAAACCCCAAACAGAGGACATTTTGTTAGCTAAAGCACCGTGGATCAGACAATTGCCATGTTTTTGTCATAAAATATTGTTTTCACCTTTCTTTGTATCTCAGTGTTGCTGATGTATTTCAGCCACTTCCTGTACACTTGCTGCAAATGATTGCTCTTTACCAGCTCTTTCACAATGGTGGACCTTTCAGTTGCTACCACTTATCAGGAGGTGTGTGAACGAAGATGTTCATGGCAGGATCACCAGGGATTATTTTAATGACAAGTGCATATTTAGAAGATTGAAAACAATTTTTGATTAGACATTAAGGCCTGGTTCACACCGGCGTGCAAGCGCGTTTGTGCGCGCTTGGACGCTGTGTGGCCCCATTGATTTCAATGGGGTCATATCCGTACGGCAAACGTGCCAAAAGGGCCCCCGCATTATTTTGTGTGCTGCTCGGGACGTGTTTCTTCCTGCCGTTTGTGTGCGTTTGCATGTGTGGAAACGTGGGGGAAAACTGTGCGAGTTGCCGGCCGCGTTTTTGGTGCCATTAGAAATTAATGGCACCGCAAGCTTGCTTTGCGGTTGTGCACGTTTATGTTTATAGAACGCACAGGTGTGAACCAGGCCTTAAGGTTATTTCCAGTTTCTTTTCAGTTTTAATGCTCTGCTGCTGTATACACGAGAAAAAAAAACTAACTTTGCCAGGAAGTAGTCACTCTCTCCACAATCAAGTGCTGCCCCGCATATCCTCCTCCGTGGTCCACTGCCTATCCTTTTTCGGGCTGAATGACACCCATTGTCAATTAACCCACAAAAAGCCTGAAATTGGGCTTTAACATGTTCAAGCTTTTATTAGATGTAGACTGGGTTTAGGTCTACTTTATAACTCCAAAAGGAATAGTCAGAACTCTTTATAATAAATGCATAGACCTGGGAAGCTGGGTGCAGAAATCTAATTTCTAGAGTCCAAGGGGGATAAATGCTGAACTTTGGGGACTATAAAGTTACATGTGTTATAGTAGTTGAAGACTCTGATTACTCCCATGGTGACTTCTATGAAATCCCACAAATCTTGTTTACATGCGGGTGGAAGTAGAGCTCCTGCTGTACCTCTGTGCCCACTTGGATGCAAGTACTGCAGACCTCAGCGCTATGGTCACATCTCCACCCCCGTCTCCTCCTGACCATTCAGAAAACGGAGCCTGGTCTGTGTGTTTTGTAAATGCTTAAAATTCTGCTTTACGGAAGCCAGATGGTGATTTTAGAAGTTATAAAGAACAACTACAGAAATTACACATATTCTCAAGAGGTGCAAAAGAGGGGATACGTTTGCAATGTTGAGGTTATCTGCTGGCGGTAGTATAGGTAATAAACTGTTTAAGATTCCTGAGAAAGAGATGTGGCCACCACCTGAGATTGGATGAAAAGAGGTTGCAGCGCAAAGTACAGTATCAGTGAAAGTACAGAACTTTCTTCCTCAGGTAGTGATATCAGATGAAAGACGAAAATGTAGATACATTTAAAACACTGTTAGATGTCTTCATCAGCGAACACAATTTACAGGGGTACAGGAAACTCTTAGGATGAACTGGATGGACTCATGTCTTAACGTGACCCTGGAAAAAACATAGATACCTTGTCGCTAGTTTTTGTGACATGACGTTCCATTAAACGTACTCTTTGGACTGCAATTTGGTTGGTGTGCTGGTGACATCTATTTATTTTTAACGTGACCCTAAACTCAGGAGTTAAATCTTAAAAACACATTCAAGTACCCTAACTATTAATAATAATGTATCTTATTTGTGTATCACTCGGCTGTAGATCCTCAAATCATCTCTGAATTGGTGCTGACACCGTCCTTCCTTCTGGAGGGTGGCTACTTTTGTTCCCCATGGTCCCTGTGTGTGTTGCAAAGTAGTCACCACTCCAAGCTCACTCCCGTGATGGACTACAATCTCACATTTAGTTTACTCATTTGTATTGAGATTGTATTCTATCACAGGAGCAAGTTTTGAGCGGTGGCTACTTTACAACACACACAGTGACCATGGGGAACAAAAGTAGCCCCCCTCCAGAAGGAAGGACAATGTCAGCAGCAATCCAGAGATGATTTTGGGATCTACAGCGGAGTGATACACAAATAAGATACAGTTTTGTTAATAGTTGGGTACTTGAATGTATTTTTAGGATTTAACCCGAGTTTACCATCACTTTATTTTAACCTTACAAATCATGTACCTTGTGAAGCATTAATGTTACTGAGCAATTCATCAAAACTGTCCATATGCTGATAGAACTTTGTTTGAACAAGAACATCGTTTGAGAGAGCATTCAATCTTGCCATAATTTATTTTGAAAGCTCAGACTGGCTACTTGATTGAAATCCCTGACATATTGAACAAGGTTCCTTGGTGTCTGGCACACAGAATTTAATTTGTTCATTTTCCATCCCGCTCCTTCCAATTTTCTAAAACAATGACCGATCATTCGAAACTCAAACTAAGGTTTCAAAAACAAATGTTTTCGAACGAAATTCTCCTGGTGTAAGGCCATGATTAGACAATTGAAACAAATGTTTTCTAATCTCTTTGGTGTGTAAAGTCAACACTTGAAGAACCCTAACGTTCAAGCAGCCATGTAATGGAAGTTTGTGTGTGTATGTGACCTGGCTGTGTATTTATGTGACCACCCTCTCTCTCTCTCTCTCTCTCTGTCTCTCTCTCCTCCTGACAATAGCACTATTCTTCTGGCTGGCTCTGATGTAGCTGGAAGCGTTTTTAGGACAAGCCCAATGTTATGACAACGGATCGTGTTTACAGAGGGAGGCGCATGGACACACAATGGGTTAATAAACTTCAGCACCATGCCCAGATTTTAACCCTTCTCAGCCGGGATCGCCATTGGCTGTTGATCTGTAATAAAGATCGTTATGAAAATAGGAGTGGATGATGCATGCATGTGTGTAAATGCTGATCCTTGCTGTATCATCACCAGCTGTCTTCAAGAGATGTCCCCTGAGTGTCACCTGTGCTGGTGGCAGATGACAGTCCTGGGAGGTGGGGGGTAAAGGCAGCGATGGCTCTCCCTGGCTCGTGTCACTCCTGTCCCAGCCTGATGTCCCCGGTGTCCCAGGTGTGCCGAGCCCCGCCTCCGGGGCTGGAATGCGGAAGCGGGTGGGAGGAGGAGTCCGGAGAGACACGGCGGGGAGAGTCCCGGAGAGAGAGCCCGGGACAGTGGGGGGGGCACCGGAGACACGTCGTGCCATCGTGCAAGGGCTATGAGGGCGCAGCCCGGGACACGTGGAGGATAACACAGGAGAGGAGCCGCCCGCGTTGTGTAGCAGATGAAGTAGCCTGGTAGTGCCACCATGCCCCCCGCCCAGTGAGCCATGTCTGCCCAAACCGCCCTCCCCGCCGACCATGACCCTTTGCCCCCGGTGCCAGACTCGGGAGCCTTGGAGCCCAAGAAGAAGAAGCACAAAAGTGGCACTCTGCGGCGGGCACTGAGCTGGCTAAGGGGGCGCAAGAAGAAAAAGCCGGAGGCCAAGCAGCAGGAGAGCAAAGGTGAGAGCTGGGGAATGCCAGGTGTGTGCCCATTGTGGGCTGCCATATGGATGTGCCCAGAGGAAGGCACGATCACACGACCTGCTGATGCTCAGTCTAGCGGAAAGCCATGTAGATGTCATGTACGGGGCATTCTTCCCAGGGTTCTGTATCCTACTAAACTTCATAGATCGATAGTGACGAGTGCTGGCAGCCATGGGGCCTTTACCCTGGCACATTTCACATGACTTCATAGATACAAGGCTTGTGGTCTTATTATGTATACATTCACTTAGCTTGTGATCACTGAGCTCTGCACAGATTGCAATGAGAAACTTTGAAAACTTCTCATTCTCTGCATGCTCCCTTCTCCACCTTCTTACCCCAGAGGAAACCTTCAAACCATTTTGGTTTTTGGGGAACCCTGCTAAAACCAGTTCATTATGGGTCAGTGGGTAGAATACCCCGCTTACTGTGGTCAGCGAGAATAATGTCCCTTACATTGGTGATCAGCAGGAAGAATACCCCCTCCCCTTTATGGTGGTGAGCGGGAATAATGTTAGTGGGAAGAATGTCCCTTACATTGGTGATCAGTGGGAAGAATGTCCCTTACATTGGTGATCAGTAGGAAGAATGTCCCTTACATTGGTGATCAGTAGGAAGAATGTTCCTTACCTTAGTGATCAGTGGGAAAAATGTCCCTTACATTGGTGATCAGTGGGAAGAATGTCCCTTATATTGGTGATCAGTGGGAAGAATGTCCCTTATATTGGTGATCAGTGGGAAGAATGTCCCTTATATTGGTGATCAGTGGGAAGAATGTCCCTTATATTGGTGATCAGTGGGAAGAATGTCCCTTATATTGGTGATCAGTGGGAAGAATGTCCCTTATATTGGTGATCAGTGGGAAGAATGTCCCTTATATTGGTGATCAGTGGGAAGAATGTCCCTTATATTGGTGATCAGTGGGAAGAATGTCCCTTATATTGGTGATCAGTGGGAAGAATGTCCCTTATATTGGTGATCAGTGGGAAGAATGTCCCTTATATTGGTGATCAGTGGGAAGAATGTCCCTTATATTGGTGATCAGTGGGAAGAATGTCCCTTATATTGGTGATCAGTGGGAAGAATGTCCCTTATATTGGTGATCAGTGGGAAGAATGTCCCTTATATTGGTGATCAGTGGGAAGAATGTCCCTTATATTGGTGATCAGTGGGAAGAATGTCCCTTATATTGGTGATCAGTGGGAAGAATGTCCCTTATATTGGTGATCAGTGGGAAGAATGTCCCTTATATTGGTGATCAGTGGGAAGAATGTCCCTTATATTGGTGATCAGTGGGAAGAATGTCCCTTATATTGGTGATCAGTGGGAAGAATGTCCCTTATATTGGTGATCAGTGGGAAGAATGTCCCTTATATTGGTGATCAGTGGGAAGAATGTCCCTTATATTGGTGATCAGTGGGAAGAATGTCCCTTATATTGGTGATCAGTGGGAAGAATGTCCCTTATATTGGTGATCAGTGGGAAGAATGTCCCTTATATTGGTGATCAGTGGGAAGAATGTCCCTTATATTGGTGATCAGTGGGAAGAATGTCCCTTATATTGGTGATCAGTGGGAAGAATGTCCCTTATATTGGTGATCAGTGGGAAGAATGTCCCTTATATTGGTGATCAGTGGGAAGAATGTCCCTTATATTGGTGATCAGTGGGAAGAATGTCCCTTATATTGGTGATCAGTGGGAAGAATGTCCCTTATATTGGTGATCAGTGGGAAGAATGTCCCTTATATTGGTGATCAGTGGGAAGAATGTCCCTTATATTGGTGATCAGTGGGAAGAATGTCCCTTATATTGGTGATCAGTGGGAAGAATGTCCCTTATATTGGTGATCAGTGGGAAGAATGTCCCTTATATTGGTGATCAGTGGGAAGAATGTCCCTTATATTGGTGATCAGTGGGAAGAATGTCCCTTATATTGGTGATCAGTGGGAAGAATGTCCCTTATATTGGTGATCAGTGGGAAGAATGTCCCTTATATTGGTGATCAGTGGGAAGAATGTCCCTTATATTGGTGATCAGTGGGAAGAATGTCCCTTATATTGGTGATCAGTGGGAAGAATGTCCCTTATATTGGTGATCAGTGGGAAGAATGTCCCTTATATTGGTGATCAGTGGGAAGAATGTCCCTTATATTGGTGATCAGTGGGAAGAATGTCCCTTATATTGGTGATCAGTGGGAAGAATGTCTCTTACATTGGTGATCAGTGGGAAGAATATCCCTTACATTGGTGATCAGTGGGAAGAATGCTAGTTACATTGGTGATCAGTGGGAAGAATGTCCCTTACATTGGTGATCAGTGGGAAGAATGTCCCTTATATTGGTGATCAGTGGGAAGAATGTCCCTTACATTGGTGATCAGTGGGAAGAATGTCCCTTACATTGGTGATCAGGGGGAAGAATGTTCCTTACATTGGTGATCAGTGGGAAGAATGCTCCTTACATTGGTGATCAGTGGGAAGAATGTCCCTTACATTGGTGATCAGTGGGAAGAATGTCCCTTACATTGGTGATCAGTGGGAAGAATGTCCCTTATATTGGTGATCAGTGGGAAGAATGTCCCTTACATTGGTGGTCAGTGTCATGCCACTAGCTCTGACAATTGGTGTTTGACCAGGAACTATGCAGCCACCTCTGGAGGAACCATGGTTAAGAATGGCTGTCCTCTCAGGTTTCCGTCCTGTCTGAAAATGATCTAATTGCATTTTGATGAAATCACAAAATGGGGTAATGAAAGTTGCCATGCAGTCAGACGGATGGCAGAATATTGCCTTAGCTGAGATTGAATGATTTAGTAAGGTACATTTTCTTTATTGGATTTCACAGATACTAATGCATATACTCTCCTGTTAATATGGAACAAAACTAGCAATAATTAGAACAACAAATGTACAGAGCTATAAATATGTGTTTTTTGTTGTTGTAACCGTACCAGGAAAGTACACAGTTGAGGTCAGATGACAAGCAAAATGTCTGACTCCAGCAGCCTTCTCTCTGTGACTTTGCAGATAAATATCAGGAGATAGCAAATGCTTACATGGGGCGCTGGTGATGAATAATTTATTAGTACAGAAGTAAAATCTTTCTTGTGTTTATTTAATTGCCATAAGCGTCAGCATAACAGCATAGGTTAAGGAAACAAGTATTGCAAATATAGCATGAGAAAGGCAAGTGTGAGTTCAAGGTCATTGCATATTTCTATGATCAGCTAAGAGACACGTATTATTGAGGAATATGACTTAAGTTAGGCAGGCTACCTGGGGCAATACATATCTATGTCCAGGCTTGTATGCTTTATTCAGCTTTCTCCTGTCAGTTTGGCTATGACTTGTGTGCTGTCTTACATAGTCTTGTAGCTAGGCCTATCCATCATTAGCTCCCTGGTGCCCAACATGTGGCCCTTTTGCACTTGCTGTTCAGCCCTTTACAGACCATTGCAGTTAGTAGTGGGAGCATTTATTTGTAAAGAAGCTGTAATGACAATTATCTCTTAGCAGTCTCATGTAGCATGCCCCTAGTCTTTGGCTGTCTCTTGCAATGTGTCTTCCCTCATTGCATCTCCAAAACCTCTGACCATCTCCTCTAATATATGTGAGGTTTCTTACCAACTGCTGTCATTAATTTAATATTGTATGTGGCCCTTTAGAGCTGTCAGGGGCCAGAGTTGAGGCCCCCCATACCTCATAAGTGTACAACCGCTGTTGTAGCTGCTTGCACAGTTTTTCAGTAGTTGCAAAGTACTGCAACGGTGGCTTTACACATGGAGTAGCACACATAGCACCTGGTGGCAACCCATGGCACCATTAGGGCATAGTTCTGACCCTGATTCAAGAATGCTTGTCCTGCTGCCTCATTGTACCAATGGAAGCATCACTATTATGTATATATTACAAAGAAAGTTTTTATACTCCAAAATGCACAGCAGTGAGCAGGACATGTGAGTGTTCATTTGGTTTTAATTAAGAAGAGACCCTGATTCATATGTTGTATCATGACAGAGAGTTATTCATATATGAATAAGTGTGTATACGGTGATCGGGTGTACAGTTTGTTCTGAAACTAAGGAAAAGTATGATTCCCTTGTTTCCCCCCTTGACCTTGGCTAAACTTGTTGCATGGCTTTCATCTGCCCCAAGGCAACTAATGCATGGTGCATAGAGTTACCAGTAGTCAGTGCTGCATGCTGCACATTAGCCAGTGTCTTGCTATAGTCAAGGGGTAGTATTTGTATCTGCCTCCTCCAGTAGCTTTCTGCAGGCAACCTGTAGTGGGTGGGGCTTGCTGGGTCCCTCCTACAGCTCTGCTCTCGGCAAGGTAATAACTGGATTTTTAAAATATTTGGTTACACACAAAGTAGATTTATATCCTTTGTGGCTTTTGAGTAATATATTTAAATGAATGTTTTTGTGCCCAGAGTTTAGCTTCAAGCAGGTTAGAAAACGTGAATAGATCTCTGCTGCCCACCTCTGAGATCAGAAGTTCAAGCAGCATCTTCCTTACTTCTATCACCATAACTGTACATGTTTGAAAGAAATCACTTTTTTATGTTTATACCACATTCAGACCCCATTTACACCTGTGAATAGGAGTCTCAGGTATTGCTCCAAGACAGGGGTAGGCAACCTTGGCTCTCCAGCTGTGCTGAAACTAAAAATCCCATAAGGCATTGCAAGCCACAGGCATGACTCCCAGAGGCAGAAGCATGATGGAATTTGTAGTTTCAGCACAGCTGGAGAGCC